GCGGCGACGGTCAATAGATGGAGTCTAGTTTTGACGTCTATTTTGACGGGAGAGACGATCTTAGTATTTTTTTTATTTTTCACATAGTTTACTGTACCTTTTAATAATATGAATTACTAAATTTGTTTTTGATTTCGTGTAGTACGTATTTTAGTTGTTAAGTAATGGCAATGTGTGCTAATGACGTGTCAATTTCATTAGTAACGACTGAAATACAATTTTAAAATGACACCCTATTTAACAGATTGAAATCCTCGATGTAAATATTTATTCGAAATTTACAGATGTCTTTTGAAATGTAATTCTTATAGAAACAATGAGAGTGTATATATATCATCGTTATTGTTTTTATTATATATCGTCAATTGTATATTTAAATCTTGATAGTCATAGCTCTCTACAGTTATCACCTCTGTGTATTAAGCCTTATTTATTTCAAGTCCTAGTGAGATCTAACATAGGACTTTTTTGAAGGAATGGTAATTACAGTCGATTTTAATATAACCATGACTTGGCATCGAATACCGCAATGAGTTCTTTTTTTTTTCATGCTTAATTGGTTCTAGATTTTTATCTCAAGTCGAACCTCACCATTAAGTAAAAATAATCAAACTGGGTTCTGATACCTTCGTAGTGCAAATGTCGAACTCCTTTCTACCGGTGTAAACAATATATGATACATTTGTTGGAAGAGATCAAAGGTAGACATGTTTCTTTAATAAAGAATTGGTCTCTTCCAGCATTGATATCCTGCGCGATTCCTTCTATCGTAATATGATACATTTACAGTAGAAAAGGCAGTCTATAGCAGTCCGACATTGTTAACATGACCTGTAGTACGTGTACTTGGAGGTGTGTGGAGATAAGTAAATAAAAGTACTTACACATTCAATCCTCAAAAATGGAAAATTGAGAGAAACGTGATCAACGATATCTTACTCTATACGGTCATTTCCTCGATTTAGCGATAGCTTCTGCTAGAGGGGTCTGAATATTAGAATCATTAAGTCATACTAACTACTGTGTCAGCATTTCTGTTGGTTCAGATAAATAAGACAATTTGAATCTCTGATTTATTCTTTCTCGCAAATCAAGCCTTAACTTTATCTAGAAAATTCTTCCATGCAGCGACTTCTTCAGAAGGTGAAATAGAAGAACCACCTGGCACACCCCGGGCTGATCGAATTAAAGTGAAGTCAAAATTTGAGAACCGAAACATTCGCCTGTTCCGAAACATCTCCTACTGTATGCGCTGGCACGCCTTCCTTCTGGAGAATGCATCTCCGCGAAATGCTTACTGAACTGCGTAACCTTTTGGATTTCCTTAAACTTCTGGAGAGATTTGCTAGCACTATTTTGTTGAAACTTTTCATGACCAAAAATATCCTTTTTGAGAGACCTCTGTTGTGAAATCAAAAATTACTCGGCTTGATCTAGTACAACCTTCAGAAGGTCATTCAACCCTCTTACGGCGAGACCATGAATATTCCTGTGTCTCATAAAAGGGTCTACTGTATATCGTCAAGACTTCATTTTCAAATCGCATATCGTTAAGCAAACTCTACAAGAACGGCTTTAGATATGACTTTATAGGAATACAAATTTCAGGTCAATCTATCGTGTTTTTTCTTTGCATTTCCTTTGCATTTGAGGATTGTGCTGGTTAGTCGCCATCTAGGAAGGGCAAAGATTCGAGTTCGAGTTGATTTTAGAGGGAAAAAAATTATAATTCTATTTTAAAAATATATATGTACATGCCCCATTTTCGAACAAGTGTAATTTCAACCAAGTGAAGCATTTAGTTTCAAATAAGTGGAATAAGGTACACATGATAACAACATAGTTGAAAATTTTGTTATCCATACATATGTATAAAGAGGCATTTTTCCATTTAAAATATCATATATAATTCATTTTATGTATTTTATCTTCGTAGAACAAGATAGATGAATAAGCCACAACTCTAACAAACTCGGAAAAGTCAACCTGTATACCATGGTTTGGAGCTGTGGCCCTTCTGAGTACTGGAACGGCTATGATTTCGTAACGTCTTACGATATAGCAGGGTTATGGAATGGGCAGAATCTTCCAGAAAGTTGTTTTAACTGACGCAGTAATAGGGTTGGTTTTCAGGTCAACTTACATTGAAAGGTTATTCCCGTGGAAATAAGAAGATAATCTCTACCTCTCTTTTCGCTCGGATTCCTTCCTCTCAAAAATTTGCAAAAATTGGTGATAAACTTACAGTCGCGTTTACATGTCTATTATATGATTATCATGGTTTGTATTATGATTTTTTGAGATTAATGTGAAAGATTTCTTATTCCTTCTCTTAGGAATGCAATGATTCCTATCTGCGGTAAATTGATGAATTCAGAAGTTTTAGTCCTGTATGAGTACTCATAGGACTTCAATATGAAGACTTCTACCCAGCACACAGGGCTGTGGTCAATCACCGAGGTCTGCATTGTTCAAGATCAGGAAATGATCAACCACGCACTTCCATTTTCTCCTCAAACGTTCCACGCTCTAGCGCTGTTCTGTGGCACTGGAGCGTCTGGGCCGTCACGCGAGTTTCTTCTTTATTCTTTTGTAAATAATTGTGTTAAAATTTAGGTGAAAAGTTTAGAAGAAAAAGGTCAGGGTGATGACATGATGAAAGAGCATTTCCTGAAGGTTGCTGATGGCATTCAACCGTGAACAGCAAATACTAATTGTAATATTACACCATCCTGAACTTTTTTCTCTAGAGTTTTACCTCTTTTAAAACAAGTTTTAACGTATCCATGCACATTTGGCCTTAAACATGTTTTCCCTGATTTACCAAGAAGCCTCTATGACCACTTTGATGGGTTATTGAGATACAGCCTGCACGCTGACGAGCTCAATAGTACAAACCTTGGTTGACTTTACTTGATTTATCGATAAACCTTTTTTTTTGGGCAATTTCTTAGGGAAAAATCGAGAAGGAATATGGCCTATTGGAGACGATTGAGAGGATGATAGCCAGCTTGTTTGGACATTTTGCCCGACACTTGGAATGGATGAACGTATTGTTGGAGAGATGTATGGAAGTACAAGGTTGTCCCAGAAGTTGGTAAACACTTACAAAAAAATGAAATACCAATATTATTCGCTGTTATGTATAATGGCTTTGTATTATGTATAAAGTAATTGTAATATGTATTATTATGTATTCACCGCGTAATGATATTATTCGCCAAGTTATAAGAAAAACAACGTTTTAAGAAAAACACGAACTTTTGGGACAACCTTATAAGACAAGAAAGAGTAAATATTTCTGGAGGGATAAAGTCGATATTTTAGTAAGCCCGTTGAAGAGCGATTAACGCTTGAAAGCTAGCGTTTTTCCAATAAAAAGATCATTTAATCATTATTTCCCTCTGATATGACGCTTTTGTCGTTATTTCTGTATATTCTTTTTTCCATTGTTTGGTTTTACCCATATGGTCATACTTTATTTTAGGTTTCACTTTATTCCTCCTAAAATTGTGTTCATATCTCCGTCCGTTTTAGCTTTATTTTTGAAATTTTATTATTACTATAATTTTATATTTTTACAAAATTAGTTATACAAAGCAGCAATATTAATTTTGATTCATTTTATCATTACGCCATCTATATCATATATGCTAATTATCTCATAGATCGATTCTTTATATAGTTCTGTCTACTCACATTTCATTGTACCTGTTGAAGGGCTTGACAGCCCGAAAGCTTGTCACGAATCCGTTCATTTAAGAAACGTTTTTCTCCTTATTTTTTCATCTATTATAAAGATACTCATTGTGAGAAAATATTTGTAATTTTAAAACAAGAAAGAAGAGTTGGCCGAGAATAGAATTCATGGACAATTCAGCAAAAAGAGCCAATGATATCTTTAAAAAAAACTTGATATAGAAAGAAAGCTCTGAGAGAACAGGAATACTGTCCACCAACGTTTGGTGTAAGACGAAATAGAAGAATTAAAAAATAAACGTTAAGTTGATATTTATTCCTATAGATGGCAGTCAGTAACATTGAGTTATATCTCTAGGAGTTGCTCTTTGACACATTAAATAATATTACCTACACATACATATAAAAATGTCATTCATCAAGGTCGTTTTTTCTAAGGGAATAATTAGTCACAAAAATTGATTTGCACTAAGCCGGAAAGTCGAAAGGCCACACGCAAAAGGCAAAAGTTCCACTTAAAATAAAACAAAGCATTAAGATTTTTTTATTTAATATCTTACTCTGCGTAGAGATAGATTAAGTTGATTACTAAATTAATAATATTCCATTACGCTAACTTTTTAGTAAAATTCCTTTATAAGTTTTTGCCCAGTGAAGATAAAAAAAAAAAGACTCGGGAATTCCGTTATTTAGGGATCTGTCTGTATTTACATATACAGATGAGCTAACGTTAAAACAGCTCTTGTTCCATAATCACAACACCTGAATATGTTATTTCAATGTCCTCTATAAAACACACGAGCAAATCAATATTAAGAGAATTCATCTTATACCAGAGAACCTTCTCCGGATATTTGGTGACTTTAGTACGTGGCTCCAGGAATCCGGGTTACATCAAGATAAAGATATTCTTATAGAATAATAAAAATAGTTTACAATATCATAAATTGGGTTGGCCAAGAGATGGCGCTCTGCCATCTAAAAAGCACATGTGCTCGTGGTCAGGATATGCTCTCTTTATTTTTAATATTATTAATTGTATCTACTCTAATATACGCGTGAATCTCATGGAATCAAATCTAATCTGGACTGATGAAAGCCATTAGTTCTAAGCCATGGTTTCCCGGTGGATGCTCTGAATTTACCAAAGCTGATGTTGTGGCGACCAGAGTCTGGTAGATTGTGGAGATGGTCGATATGTTGGCGCCTAGTTTCTGCGTCTAATCTACTTATATAATTGCCTTATTCTGTCTGTGTGAAGTTCACGGATAGATTTTGGTCAGAATGGATAAAATAAAAAAAGTGTCAAGGGATGGGAATCGAACCCACGACCTTCCGCTTACCGGGCAGATGCCATGACCACTAGGTCACATGACCACAATTTATAATTGTAACAAATAGTATTTGAATCAAAACATTCAATCGGGTAAAACACGGGCGTTGCCCGGGTCATTTGGCTAGTCTTTTTATATTTATTTAGTCGTTAGATTTTACTTTATATTGATATTGTTACTTGGAAAATTAGGAAAGACAAACTTCAAGATGACACAGCAATTTAAGACAAGTACAAATCAACATATATAAAATATCAGAGAGGCATTGAGGGAAGTTTACAGAATAGAAAAATATACTTAAAAAATTAATAATCTGTTCATGAAATAATACATTTTTTTCTTACAATATATATTTATTATATAGATGGAAATTTTGCCGGGAGGATATTTATCTATAAAGATCACCTCTCCCGTCAAAATAGACGTTAAAACTAAGCGCCATCTATTGGCCGTCTCCACAAACTACCTGACTCGGATAGGTGACAAAGAAACAACCAGGTAGGCCCTTCTCAGTTTGCCAAAGCTGGTGTTGTGGCTTTGTCACCAGTCTGTTAGTTTGCAACGACAGTCTATAGATGGCGCATATAGATTTAGCGCCTTTACCCACACTAATCTATTTATTAACTTGATTGTTTTAATTAAGTTTTCCTTTATATAAATTTCATATTAACATTATATGTGATATTAGATTTAAAAATTATGATAATAACAATACTTATTACTAGTATTATTACTGTTTTTCCTGCATGACCCCTACATTTCTGCTCGGAGAGTCTGTATAAGACTAAAAGGTCTTAATAAAGCTTTCTGTTGTTGCTGATTTAGCGTCTATTTTGACAGGAGAGAGAGGCCACCTTTATTTTTTATATTTTACAACTTATATATACTTGAATTATATATTTAATATATATTCACTATATATATATATACTAGCGGATGTACACGGCTTCGCCCGAGGTTTTACCCGAGTAAAGGTTTGTCTAACGAACATTTGTTAAAACATTTCTCTATAAACTTTTATAAAAAAAAAAGATATATTTTGATCATTTGAAACTCGTAAATTTGAATCTCTCGATAAAGTGAACATTTTTTCCCGGTCCCTGTGTGCCGTGTCATCCTGAATTTTGTCTTTTCTAATTTTCTACATTACAAAATCATCGTTTTATCTAGTGAACATTTTTTCCCGGTCCCTTGAAAAATACTCGATAAGTTGAATAAAATCAATATTAATTGGTTCCCTCGGTAATTGGAAGTTAAAGGAATAGTATCTTCGCCTTGAATTGCATCATTATTCTTGTCTCAAATAAATTGCCGTGTCATCCTGAGATAATCTTACTTTTGATAAATAATCTTTAAGATAATAAACTTAGTGATAATAAAACTTATAGATAAAAAAACTTGTTATCATCGTCGCAATGGTGGCGCTGCTTGCGAGTTAAATCTACAAATCTGCAAATAACTCTAAGGATATTCAAGATATTCAATAAATTATTTTTCAAAAACCTTCCCGGGGATATACCTAATAATATCCCAAATTTTCACGGCGATTGGATGTATGGTTTTTGAATCTATAGAGTACACACAGACAGACATTCAATTTTATATATATATAGATTAACACAAAGCCGTATCAATCTCCTCACGGTGAACTTTGCATATCAAATTACGTTAATAAAGTAATACCGTGGTTATATACAACTTCACAGGGATATAAATCAATCACAGATTACACATTACCAAATTAGAATATACGTCCTCGAAAAGCCAGTAGGCTAACAGAAACGAAGGTCAACAGAACGGCAAAGAAGGGTCAGCACGCAACTCGCTGCTATTGAAATTTAAATTCCACACGCACAGACAGAATTAAGTTGAACAAAGCAGTTTGATAGGTCGGGCTTTGACCTCGGATTGGTTGGGTGATTCCATTCATAGCAACCACAAAACATCAATAATACTTTTTTTTATAAAAATGTTTCACTTTGAAAGAGAGAGTTTGAAGAAAAAATAAATAGAAATATGATATTCTCCTGTGTTTGTAAGAATGCCCTCTGTGGCAACAGTTGATCCTTTATTTAGAACCAAGCCAGAAGAACAGAACTTGTCTTAAAAATGATTTGATCATCACATTCATATATTCTGTCATCATCGGTAAACTACTTTTCAAAATTTCTATTCATCTGAACATGTGTTAATGATACAGGTTGGCCAGAACAGATGATGCAGTTTAAAATGCTCCTAACTTTCATGATAAATAACTAAAAATAATTTAATTCAAAAGTCAATAAAGCAATTACAGGAGATACAGGTAATATACACCATAAAATCATAGAAGATATAAGGTTGTCCCAAAAATACGTGTTTTTTTTTTAAACATTGTTTTTCTTATTACTTTGCGAATAATATCATTACGGAAAATACATAATACAATTACTTTATACATAATACAAAGACATTATACATAACGGCGAATAATATTGGTATTTCAATTTTTTGCAAGTGTTTACGAACTTTTGAGATAACCTTGTAGTAGCAATAGTGATAATAACTACTTTAGTAAAACGTGGATTATAGAAAATTTATGAAAATTAGCTCAATTTTAACTAATCTGCCATCTTTGCGATGTAAAATGATGACAAGAGTGATATATTGATGATTTCTTGGTATCACTTTTGTTACTAAATTCTGTGATTTTTGTTTTCCTATCGGTTGCAAATTTTATTATCTTGAATTTTCCTAAATATATTTATCTGATTTTGAAGCAAACAATATTTAATTAATTATCAGGAGAGTTATGAGTATTTATATTAAGATGTAGCATCTCTGTTCTGGTCCACCTTGTACAGTAGAACTACCTCTCTATAAAGAACACCGAGTCGCAGAGCCAGTGAGTGTCTTTTAGGAAGAAGTATCCTCTTACTGGAGAGTGTTGTTAAATAGAAAAAATAGCAATTTTTGTGATGGAAACTGTCCTCTGTATAGAGTTCTCTTTTAGCGAGCAAAGGATCTCTATATACTGCAATAATAAGATATTATTTCATACACAACACATAAAGCTTTCATTCTCACACGTATTATGCTAATATCACGCTATCAATATGATATAATGTATTCATTATATAAAATGCTGTTCACCACTGATGACTCAGGCCCTCTCAATTATGTCTCACCGCAGTAAAAGTGGAAATTGGAAGTTTATCCAATCTATTTAGGTTGTAAATATAACAACGAGATTTTTTTTTAAATTTGAAAATCGAGTCAAAGAAACAATAAAGGAGAAGATATAAAGAGAAGAAGTTTACCTTACAATTAACTAACTTAGTCAAGTGTAGCATGATGCTAGAAGCACGTGGGTAACTCTATAATTCGATAAACGGAGACGTTCAAACAAGAATAAGGGGTTGTAATACGTTTCTAGGGTGGTGAAGGAGCCAAACTTTCAGAAATCTTGTGTCGCCTCAAAGCTATATATGGCGGAAAGAGGCAGGGTGTTCCATTGTTTACTGAATACCATTCACTAATAACGGATTCTCAGCCTAGGGGTAACCTTCACCATGTCGCCATTAATTAGAAGATGTTGCCAGAAACAAACGATATTCTTTCGGAGGATCCACCAATTACCATACGTAGTCTAGACTGCAAGCCTCAATTCGAGATTGTTCTGACCAAACACTTAGGGCTGCCGGGAAAAATGAGCTCAATAGTGGGGCGGTCTGGATCCAAGCTCTCTTATCTAACATTTTCTATCTTAGAAGTAAGGTCTGTAGAGGGGGTAGTTTTAATATTATCTCTCTCATGAAAAACCTAAATATTTTTTTAAAAAGTATTTATACCAAAGTGTCGTTGAGCCTATTGTGTCTGTGGAATGGACGGACGGACGCTGAGAAAGTGTAAAACAAAAGAAGTAATAAGCCACCAGATTGTAACCAATGCAGTAATCTTATGTTTCAAGCTCGATGGAGAACTTTTTTTTTATTTTAATAAAGAGGCAATTAACCTCGATTTTAATTAGAGTTTGGAGGCCGCGATGTGGGTTTTTGGGCTAAAGACTTCCTACCTTTGCTAATTGCTCCATTTGGGGCGCCAACCTTCTAAATGCAGGCGATCTGGCGGCGACCTTTCTTTATTTGTTTTGTGGGCTGGTTGGTTGGTATACACTAGCCGAGTATAGCCCGGTAGTGTTTCCTGCCGTGCTTTGGATGGGAGATTCGTACTTATAATTTTTATATAAACCACGGGGTTAATGGACATAACAATAATTATAGTAAACATTTTATATTTATATAATTCAATAAAATATTTGAAATATTTTTCGTATATATATTGTCGGGTAAATACATTAAAGTTTTTGTTCTCCTAGACCTGAAGTATTCTATCTTACAATGTATATATAAATGAAAATTTTGCCGGGAGAAAACAGATCTATAAAAATAAAGTCGCCTCTCCCGTCAAAATAAACGCTAAAACTAAGTGCCATCTATTCACCGTCTCCGCAAACTAGCAGGCTCAGGTTGGTGACAAAGCCGCAACAGAAACTTTGACAAACTGAGAAGCGTCCACTACACACGCTTCTCAGTTTGTCAAAGTTTCTGTTGCGGCTTTGTCACCAACCTGAGCCTGCTAGTTTGCGGAGATGGTCAATATATGGCCCTTATTTTTAGCGTTTATTTTGACGGGAGAGGCGACTTTATTTTTATATTATATTCAAAACAAAAAAGGTATTTCCTGACCGCTCACACAAGCGCATTTTAGATGGCATAGCGCCATCTAGTGGAACAAAAAAAAAACTAGTTCCCTGATATTTAGCTAATCAAGGTCATTGATAGATCAAGAAAAGTCAACCACGAACGCGTTTTATCAAGAAAATGGATTGGCCAAATATCATGGAACAAGTTAAATCAACGTTTAGTTGAGTTTTGTCCCACTATATGGCGTTCTGCCATCTAGAAATTATCGTGTGAGCGGTGAAGATATGCTTTTTTTGTTTTTAATATCAACACCTGACCTTTTTTTCTATTTTTCTTATTTTTCACATATATAAGCATT